TAATAAAGTCATAAAGCTTACAAAGGCACAAGATTCTCTCTTCAAAAGCTTCCAAAATAATGGTTTATTCAATGCCTTCAATGTAGTCTCTTTTTCAGACTCAATGTCCCACAAAAATCCTAGTAAATCTATTTATAGTGGACTAAAAGTCGGGGTCAAGATTGGACAAAAATGCCCCTGCAGAGCCCTTCTGCGACCGCATAATGGTCGCAGACCATGTATGTGGTCCGCAGATTTGCAGAGTTGATCGCATAATCCCAAACTCTAGTTGCCAGCTTTCCACCGCATTTCCATTATACGGTCCGCATATCAGTTATGCGACCGCATATTCCATCATAAAATAGCTACGCAGAATCTTCAGTTGAAATTGTGCGGTCATTATGCGGTCCACAGAAGTGTTACGCGATCGCATAATAGACTGCACATTCTTCTCTTCAATGGCCAAAAAATCTGCTTCACTTTGTGGTGAGTTTGCCGTCCGCACATTACTTCTGCGGTCGCATACTTGCCGCACTCTTGACCTTTTTTGTGGAATTTTGACTTCTTTTCCATGTTATAAAATAGATTTTTGGCTTTAAGGGTAATTTGTAGAAGATATTGGTTTTCATTTCTAGGTTTTTTGCTATCCTATTCTCCTGGTTCCGTGGGTGTTTGTATATTTTGCAGGTATCATTTTTGGGAGGTGCACGCGCACAAGCAGTAAAGTAGCAGCTATATGCCAGGTTCCGCAGCATCGGGAGTATACCAAGTCAGGAGTTCCAGGTTCTATTCACGGGAATTGGTACCTCTCGCCTCTTGTTTCTCTGTCCCCTGTGTTAATTACTTTATTAGCGTAGTATTTCGTACTAGTCTAGTCAGTTTAGTGGGCTTGTAGTTACTATTTTCTCCCTTTGTTGTTTTGTGTGGTGTTTTTTCCCCGTTTCATTTTTAGAGCTTCGTAGGTATAGAGACTGTGGTTTGTAATGGCAGAGTAGGGTCATGTCCTCGGAGAGGTCGGATAGTGGGGAGGGAGGTAGGGCAAGGGTCGAGGGGTGGGACGGGGCCCAAAAGGGGTAAAGGTAACAAGGTAGCCTGTAGGTTGAGAGTTGGATCGTGGAATATAGGGACGTTGACGGGTAAGTCTATAGAGCTGGCGAAGATTCTCCAGAAGAGGAGGGTCAATATAGCGTGTGTGCAGGAGACTATGTGGATAGGATCGAAGGCGAGGAATGTAGAGGGGTATAAATTGTGGTTCTCCGGAGTCGTGAAGGGCAAGAACGGAGTGGGCATTTTGGTGGACAGGGAGCTTAGAGAGTCGGTGGTAGAGGTAAGACGGGTGAATGACATATTGATGGCGATTAAGGTAGTAGTTGGAGGGAGCGCTCTGAATGTCATTAGCGCTTATGCGCCGCAAACGGGCTTGGACGAGGAGGTAAAAAGGCGCTTCTGGGAGGCGCTGGATGAGGTGGTGCGGGGTATTCCGCTGACGGAGAAGCTATTCGTAGGAGGGGATTTTAGTGGTCATATTGGGTCGTCTGCTGGTGGCTATGGTGAGGTGCACGGTGGCTCGGCTTTGGTGATAGGAACGGGGGTGGTACCTCACTATTGGATTTTGCTAGAGCTTTTGAGTTGGTGATCGTGAACACTATGTTTCCGAAGAGGGAGGAACATTTGGTTACTCTCCGGAGTATGGTGGCTAAGACTCAAATTGACTATCTCCACCTCAGGAGGTGTGATAGGGGGTTGTGCGAGGATTGCAAGGTGATCCCGAGTGAGAACCTCGCAACTCAACATAGGCTCCTAGTGATGGACGTCGGTATTTTGATGAAGAGGAAGAAGAGGTTTGTACGGGGTCCGTCGAGGATCAGGTGGGGAGCTTTGTCTAAGGATAATGCGCAAGAGTTGGAGGGGCGGACAAATATGGGTGCCTGGAAAAGTGGTGGGGACGCTAGCTCTATGTGGACGGTGACGGCAGACTGTATAAGGGAGGCAGCAAGAGAGGTGTTGGGAGTTTCGAAAGGCTATTGTGGCGGGCACCAAGGCGACTGGTGGTGGAATGACGTGGTCCAAGGTAAAGTGGAAGCCAAGAAAGCGGCATACATTAAGTTAGTAGAGAGCACCGACGAGGATCAAAGGAGAGCGAACAGAGAAAGATATAAGGAGGCTAGGAAGGAGGCGAAAGTAGCGGTCACAGAGGCTAAGACTACTGCTTTTGGTAGTCTTTATGAGGAACTGGGGAGCAAAGCTGGGGGTAAGAAGTTATTTCGATTGGCCAAAGTGAGAGAGAAGAAGGCTCGCGATCTGGATCAAGTGAGGTGTATCAAAGATGAGGATGCTCGAGTATTGATGGAAGAGGCCCAGATTAGGCAAAGATGGCAGTCGTACTTTCATAAACTTCTGAATGAAGAGGGGGATGGAAACATCGTGTTAGGGAAATTTGGGCACTCCGAGAGTCACCGAGACTTTAGGTATTGTAGGTGCATTAAGGTTGAGGAGGTCGTGGGTGCGATGGGTAAGATGAATCGGGGCAAAGCGACCGGACCTGACGAGATTCCAGTAGAGTTTTGGAGATATGCAGGTAGGGCAGGCTTGGAGTAGCTGACTGAGTTATTTAATGTTATCTTCAAGACAAAGAGGATGTCTGATGAGTGGCGATGGAGTACAATGGTTCCGGTGTACAAGAACAAAAGGGATATCCAGAATTGTAACAACTATAGGGGTATCAAGTTACTAAGTCATACCATGAAAGTCTAGGAGAGGGTGGTAGAAATGAGGATTAGGAGGGCGGGGTCTATATCGAAAAACCAGTTCGGGTTCATGCCGGGCCATTCTACTACGGAAGCTATCCACCTTATCAGGAGGTTGGTGGAACTATACAGGGATAGGAAGAGGGATTTGCATATGGTGTTTATTGACCTAGAGAAGGCATATGACAAGGTCCCTAGGGACGTCCTTTGGAGGTGTCTGGAGGTGAAAGGTGTGTTGGTGGCTTACATTAGGGCGATAAAGGATATGTATGATGGATCTATGACTCGGGTTAGGACTGTGGGAGGTGATTCAGAGCCTTTTCCGGTGGTCATGGGTTTACACCAAGGATCTGCGCTCAGCCCGTTCTTATTTGCTCTGGCGATGGACGCATTGACACACCATATCCAAGGAGAGGTGCCATGGTGTATGTTGTTCGCTGATGATATAGTTCTGATTGATGAGACGCGAGGCGGCGTCAATGGGAGACTGGAGGTATGGAGGCAGACTCTAGAGTCTAAAGGTTTCAAGTTGAGTAGGACTATGACAGAATATGTGGAATGTAAGTTCAGCAACGTGACGGGGGAAGTGGATGTGGAAGTTAGACTTGACTCACGGGTCATCCTTAAGAGAGAAAGTTTTAAGTACTTAGGGTCAATTATCCAGGGAGATTACGCACTGTATAGGAGTGGGGTGGATGAAATGGAGGTTAGCGTCTGGAGTCCTGTGTGACAAGAATATGCCACCGAAACTCAAAGGTAAGTTCTATAAAGCGGTGGTTAGACCAGCCATGTTGTATGGAGCTGAGTGTTGGCCAGTCAAGAATTCACATATCCAGAAGATGAAAGTAGCAGAAATGAGGATTTTGAGATGGATATGTGGACACACTAGGCTGGATAAGATTCGGAATGAAGATATTCGGGAGAGGGTGGGCGTGGCTCCCGTGGACGACAAGATGCGGGAAGCGCAACTTAGATGGTTCGGACATGTGTGGAGAAGAATCCTAGATGCACCAGTTAGGAGGTGTGTGCGGTTGACTTTGGCAGGTACGAGAAGAGGCAGAGGGCGGCCTAGGAAGTATTGGGGCGAGGTGATCAGGCAGGACATGGCGCGACTTCAGATTTCCGAGGACATGGCTCATGATAGGAACATGTGGAGGTCGAGCATTAGGGTGGTAAGCTAGGGGGTAGTCGTGAGTTCTTCCCTCTTTGTACCGGATAGTCTGTTAGAGTTTCGTTAGGTTTATTAGCGGTCTTTGTTGTATCCACATTGGTGTTTTGCATAGTTTTGTGTTATTGTCCTTTCACTTATTTGTTGTGGTTATTTTCTCTCTGGTATCTTTTATTGGTACATATCTTTTCTCTTATTTCTTTTCTGATATTATTGCCTTTCCTGTTGAGCCGAGAGTCTCCTGGAAACAGCCTCTTTGCCCTTTTCAGGGCAGGGGTAAGGTCTGCGTACACTCTACTCTCCCCAGACCCCACTAGTGGGATTTTACTAGGTATATTGTTGTTGTTGTTGTTTGTTTTTGGGTCTTCAAGTCCCATGCACTGCAAAACACCAAAACTTCATAAGAATTAACTAAAAATGCTTTGAAAGAAAAGCGTAAGTCTATGTAATTAGTATCAAAAGTGCCAAAATTCTACGGCACATCAAGCGCCCTCTACCTCTTCTCATACCCGTCAAGGCCAACTGTTCGCACCTCCTAACCGGGACAACTAGGCTCCTCCTTTGCACGTTCCCTGACCATCTAAGCCTCGCTTCCCGCATTTTGTCTTCCATGGGAGTCACGCCCACCCTTGCCCGAATATCTTCATTCCTACTTTTATCCAATCTAGTGTTCCCACACATCCATCTCAGCATCCTCATTTCTGCTACTTTCATCTTCTAGATATGGGAAATCTTGAGTGGTCAACATTCTGCCCCATACAACATAGCCGATCTAACCACCGCTCTGTAGAACATGCCTTTAAGTTCCGAGGGAACCTTCTGGTCGCACAAAACACCAAATGCTAACCTTAATTTCATACAACCTGCCCCTATACAGTGCTTGATATCCTCGTCGATCTCCCTGTTCCCCTGGATAATCGACCCAAGGTACTTAAAACTTCCTTTCTTGGGGATGACTTGTGATCAAGCCTTACATTGCTTTCCACTCCCCCCATGACATTGTTAAACTTGTTGTCCAAGTACTCAGTCTCAGTCCTACTCAACTTGAAACATTTAGACTTAAGGGTATATCTCCAAAACTCTAGCCTCTCGTCAATACCTCGCGTCTAATAAGTCAAAACTATATCATCAGCAAACAACATACACCATGGCACCTCCACTTGAATTTGATGCGTCAGTGCGTCCATCGCCAGTGCAAATAATAAAGGGCTTAGCGCAGATCCTTGGTGTAACCCCATAACCATCGAAAAATGCTCCGAGTCTCCTCCTACTGTCCTAACCCGAGTCTTGGCTCCATTATACATGTCCGCAATCACACAAATGTATGCTACCGGAACATTTTTTACCTCCAAGCATCTCCAAAGAACCTCCCTTGGGACCTTGTCGTACGCTTTCTCTAGGTAAATAAACACCATGTGCAAATCCTTCCTCATATCCATGTACTATTCCACCAACCTCCTGATAAGATGGATAATTTGCGCAGTTGAACGAGCCGACATGAATCCGAATTGGTTCTCAGATATAGACACTGACCTCCTCCCCCTCACTTACACCACCCTCTCCCACACTTATATAGTATGACTAAGTAGCTTGATACCCTTATAGTTGTTACAATTTTGGATATCACCTTTGTTCTTGTACAATGGAATCATCGTACTCCATCTCCATTCCTCTGGTATCTGCTTCGTCTTAAAAATAACATTGAACAGCTCGGACAGCCACTCCAGGCCCTCTCTACCCACATACCTCCAAAATTCAATCGGGATCTCATCCTGCCCAGTCGCTCTGCCCCTGTTCATCTTACGCATAGTTCCCACGACCTCCTCAACCTTAATGCGCCTACGGTACCTAAAATCACAGTGACTCTCGGAGTGCTCCATATCACCCCAACACAATGTCTCTATCCCCCTCTTCATTCAAAAGTATATGAAAGTAAGTCTGTTGATAAATGATGAAAAGTGCATATTTTTTTAGTATATTTGCATATAAATTCTTGTGTGTGTCGCGGGAGATTACATGATTTTCAAAGTGAAATATACTCATTATGTGTTTCTTATGTGTAGGAACGAGTTTGGATGATAAATGATCAAAAGATGACAATTCGACACAAAAAGAAGAAATTAAAGGAGTGGGAGCTCGTACGAAGTCAGACGCGAAAAAGGAGAAAAATTAAGGCACAAAACAGCGAAGCGAAGCGAAGGCACGGAGCGCTTCGCGAAATGGAAAATTTTCAAAAGCTGCATCTGCGTCAAAGTCCGCGTCTAGACGCGAGGGCAGACGCGGATCCGCGTCAAAGTCCGCGTCTAGACGCGAGGGCAGACGCGGATTCTAGCTCTCCCATCCGAAGTTGGATTGAAGAATTCTGCCCCTCATCAACCCTAGGTCATATAAATACACTCTAAAACACCACTTTGAAAAAGGGAGACACTACGTTAGGGTTAGACAACACCCTTGGAGGCAAAAACACGCTAGGAGCAAGGAGTGGTTATGATTTTTAGTATTGTAGTTTTACATACTATTTTGAATAGCTAATTCGTTTTTTAGGGTTTTGATGGAACCTTTTGGGGATGAATTGGTTGTTATATTAATATAGTTTTGAGTTAGTTGTTAATCTCTATTTGTTCAACTACGTTTTAATTTTGGTTAATTGAAAGGATCCTCAATTAGCCGTTCCTATTTATTATGTATCTGCTTGAGAGAGAGTGCATATTTAGGTAGTTGTTTGAAAAACATCACTCCTGGAGTATAGGCGAGAGTCATAACCGAGGGTTTAGAGGTTGGATTAGAGATAACGATACCTCGGGTGCGATCTAAGTGAACTGTAATGTGAATCTAGCTAGCGTAGCTTGAGAGAGTGCGTCTAGTAAATTATCATAATTGCTTGAGAGAGATTTATGATAGCTGGAGAGTTCATGATTGATAGAGGCAACTAAGTCAAAGCTATAAGAAACATACAATTAATGAAATCAACAATGGGGGAAATCATAACTCTAGACCTCCTTAATTTAGTCTCCAAACCTTTGTCTCGTTAGTTGATAATTTTACGGTTTTATAGTATTTGTTGGTTAATTAGTTAGATATAAAAATCTTAATATTATAATTTAGAAATTGTTCAAACTTGTCTTCTTTGCGATATTGAACAATTACAGCGAAACCTTAGTTCTCTGTGGGATTCGACTCCGGACTTTTAGACCGGATTATATTTGCAGCGACCGCTTATCCTTTTTAGGACTAGAGTTGGGCGTGATCATCCGTCATCTCCTCTTAATCAGAGCCTCATCCATTAAAACTCTGCCTTCCTCGTCTTTGATGCACCTCACTTGATCCAGATCACGAGCCTGTCTCTCTCTCTCCTTGGCCAACCGAAATAACATCTTGTCACCGCCTTTGTCCCCCAATTCTTCATATAAGGGTGGCAAACGGTCCGGGCCCAATTCTAAACGGGCCTCGCAGGCCGGGCTTAAACGGTCCGGTTCTAAGTGGGATCGGGCTTCGTGGGCCAGGCTTAAACGGACCCGGGCTTCATGGGCTTTTGGGTGTAACCAGACCGGGACCGGGACCGTGCACTAATGGTCCCGGGCTATGTGGGTCGGGCCCGGTCCTAAACGGGCCTAAGTGGGCCTTGACTATTTTTTTTTTAAAAAAAATTTATCGAAGGCAATTTCTTGTAAATTATATAGCTTATATATATTGTATATACTATATATACATTGCTTAAATGTGTGTGTGTGTGCATGTGTGTGTGTATATATATATATATATTTGTTTAAATTCTTTATATAAGGCATTTTCTTGTAAATTATATTATGTAATTGTGACTTCAAAAGTTTTAATTCAAATATAAAACACAAAAGATTGTAAAAATATATTCAAAGGTTTATTCTTATAACATTAAGAAAACATGGCCCAATCTTTCTTAGCTTCCACCCCCCTCACCCAATGGAATGAGCACAACCAAGGTGCTAATACCACCATTGAGAAGAAAAAGAAACTAATCAAGATGTGCCAAAATACAAGTTATATATTAATTTTACATGGTATCTCTTACGAATTTCATAAATCCATCAAGGTTCGGAGGAATTTTCGTTGGTGGTGGCGGAAAAGAAGCTTGTTCATCACCGCTTTCGGGCGAAGCTGCATCCTCCGCAAGTTCAGCTAGCATTTCTTCGTAAGCTTCGTCTACCTCTGGTTTTGATTCAGCAAGTCCAAAATTTCTTCGTTCCGAACGGATCCAATCTCTGAAAAGTACTAATTTTTCCAAGCTCTCCCTCATAGACGCTCTATAATCACCGAGTGTAGTCTTGCTTGACTGAAAGCGCTCTCTGATGCCACTGTTGAAGCTTGAATGGTTAAAATATCTTGGGCCATCTTTGAAAGGATCGGAAAGTGTTTTTCTTTGTCCTTCCACCATTCCAAAAGATTAAATGAGCCATCGGGATTCTCCTGCTCAAGTCCCTATGACAAATAAACTTCAAGCTCATTTAGTTGTGAACAATCGCTAGTGGTACAACCTTGAGAACCCCTGAACTCGGTCCAAGCAGTAAGTGCTCTTACTCCTACAGTTCTTTTAGATGATTGAGAACTAGAAGAAGAAGGAGTTGGAATATCTGGTCTAGCATTAAATATTGCAAATTTGATAAGGGTTATAAATAGTTTGAGCATTTATTTTAATTGAGGCTTGTGCCTCCGAAAGTGTAGAAAACTCCTCTGGTTCAAGTGCTAAACCATTATAAATAGATCGATACCAATATTGAGGACCACCTAATTTCATAGTAGGATTTAACAAGGCAGCAATACCATAAATAGGAGGAATAGGGAAAAAAATATTTTTTAAATTTCTTTCTCATAGAATCAATAGCTACTTCATAAATTTCCCCACCCTCGGAAAAATGAGCAAATAAATTTGCAAGATCTGCAAGATAAACTAAATAGTTTAAAATAGTAGGATAATATTGCCCAGAAAATTCATTTGTAGCAACATGAAAGCTTTCTAAAAAATCTGCAAGCATTTTAACATTAGCTCAATCCGCATTTGTAAGGTGCTCATCATCATCACTTACATGAGCATTAAACGTTGAGTTTATGGGATTTCTATATTCATATGCAACAACTAAAGTTTCGTACATGTAATTCCATCTAGTTGGACAAGTTTTAGGAACGTTTCTTTCTCTTAGGCCAAATTCATCGCATCTTTTAAAATATTCTCTAAGTCTACTTTTACGGTTTGAATAAAAAAGTCGGTTAAGAGCCATTTAACCTTTTCAATTTCAACATTAAAAATTCACATACCATCACCCATAATTAAATGGTAAATATGACAAATACATCTAACATAAAAAATATTACTAAATGCAAGATTTAGTGTACTAGTAAGCAAGGCTACAGCATTAGTGTTACTAGTAGCATTATCCATTGAAATTGACATTATTTTATCACTAATGCAAAAATATCTACAAATATCCGTAATAGTGCTAGAAATAAACTGCCTTGTGTGACGTGAATTAATTATTCTATAAGCAATAATGCGCTTTTGCATTATCCAGTCCTCATCAATCCAATGACTTGTAACAGTAAGATAATCACAGTCATTACTGCTTCTACCAATATTAGTGATAATAGCAACACGATAATTAATATGAGTAAATAAATAGCGCAAATATTGTTTATATTTATAAATATCGCTCTTTACGGTTGTGCGAGGCCATCCTTTATAAGTAGGATTAAAAACTTTTCTAATATAATGCACAAAGTGGGGGTTAGACGGAAAACTGTAGGGTAAGCACATAACAGTAACCATTTTTGCCAATTCTTCCCTATCTTTTCTTGGGTCATAATATAAAATACCACCGATAACAGTGTTAATTCCCGGTTGAAATTGATTTGATCTGGTACTAGGGTCAGGCTGACTAGTTGGACTTGTCCCCCCGGACGCAGCTTTCATTTGATAAAAGTTAGCTTTATCTTGAGGGTGTATCATTATGTGTCTCCTCAAACTTCCCCCCCCCCTACCCCCCCCCCCTCCCCCGATCAACATAGTTAAAAGTTATCTCTTTGCCACAAGTTTTATACTTAGCTTTATTTCTTTCTCTTATTTGAATAAAAATGGCCAAACAAGAGATGTTTCGGCCCGTTTAGAAGGTTGTCTAGAAAAAGTAGGGGTAGTAACAGGGGAGTCAACCGGGGCATCCTTTTGATTAGTTGGGTTAACTTGAGTAACAGGACTAGTGGGTGTATCATCATCCGGTTGCGTTTCATCTAAATCTATTTCTTGCTCATCTTCTTCATCAATAGTTGGATTACCATAAAGAGAATTCATATATTCATGATCTAAGTTTTCACCACCTCCAACATTATGCACATATTGATTCTCCGTAAATTGTAATAAAGTATTATCACTATCAAAAATAGCAGCAGGTGGAGGGCGGGTATGGGGTTTGAGTAGGGGAGGCCGGGGAATTAGAGGAGGAATAGATTGGCCACTAGATTCACCACTCTTGGATTTTTCCTTATTTTTACTAAATATTTTTTTAAGGAATGGGCCATCTTAATTATAATTATACAAAGTAATTAAATAAAACAAACAAAATTATAATATTAAAACTAAAGAGTTGGAACGAGTTTGCCGAATTGAAGAACAACTTGTTGAAATTAATTATCGTTGAAGACTTGAATACTTCAATTCACCAACTTCACAATTTTTCACACAAGTTGCAACAACAAAGTAACCAATTTTAGAAGAAAATTAGAGAGAGATTGAGAAAGATTGAGAGAGATTGATGATTTGGTGAAGAAAATGAAAGAATGAGGGGGTATTTATAGTTGAAAATAGGGAAAAAGTGTAATTATAAAAGTTTGGGGTTAAAACAAAGTTGGGGGTTAA